TGTCCAGTGTCTGCGTCCAGTCTGTGGTCACTGAGCCTGTTCTCTCTGGACAGCCAGGTCTGACTGTGTCCAGGCTATGGCCACTGAGCCTGTCCTCTCTGGACACCCAGGTCTGTCTGTGTCACTGAGCCTGTCCTCTCTGGGCAGCCAGGTCTGCCTGTGTCGCCCAGTTTCTATGACCAGAAACTGAGCCTGTACTTCGTCAGGATCTGTTTCTTTTTGCTGTAACTTATCTCTCTGTCCCTTCCTCCGTGTCTCCCTCTGTCTCATGTCCTCCCCTGCCTCCCTGTCCGGCTCTCTCGGCGCACTGCTGCTGCTGTACTCGCCCAGCCTGGTGGGGGCCACTGGTTCTCCTGTTTATTCTGTCTGTCCTGCTGCTGAAGACCCACAGAGCCCCCTAAGTCATTTTCTGACCATTGCTCAGTCCGTATCCGTACAAAGGGAAGACGCCCGGAATGCTTAGATATCAAAAAGTTGATCGTGATCGTGATCGTGATCGCCCCATCGTGATCGGGGGCGTGTTGGAGGAATATGCTTGGATGTGCCCTTTGTCTGTGTGTGGGTACGGTGATTGTTGCCAGAAATCTGAAGCCACATCAAAGCAAAATCTGTTGATTCCAAATTACACTAAAAAGACAAAAAAAAAAGTGCAAAACCACAGAGAGGTCTGGTAAAAATCAAAGCATGTTTCAAACCATGATAAATTGTGACAAAATCAGCACATGGGTTAATCACAGGGAAACCACAGCCTCACACTGCTGGTTTGGACAGGTTTAAACAGTGATCAGGTAAAGGGCTGTGAACAGTCACAGCTGAGTGAATGAAAAAGACAACTGTACTGCTGTGGCACCAGTTCAGTCAGAGCCTTAACTAACAGAGTTACAGGGGAACAGCAACGCTACTGTGATATGTCAGGGTTAGAAAGAATCGACATTGACGAGTGCATTTCAAACCACAGTAAAATTAAAATGTGCGCAGTAACTTGTACAACTTCCAATTGACATCATAAAATAGATGAAATTTCCAGGTTTGTGCAGCAGCATATTCTGTGATTCAGAACGAGGCAACAAAGCTTCTGGTGACATGAAGAGGCTCTGTGACATTGTGAACGAGCCGGCTAGACAGAAATAGAAATATTGCTCTTGACTTCAAGACGGTTTTGCTGCTTCCTTGTTAACTCTGCGTGCAGATCACGTTGGGTCTTTTCTGTGGTGAATTTCCAGGTGCACAACCTGTACTTATTTGCTTGTACATCGCACGACATTAGTCATTACAGGGACTAGTGAGCAGGAAGGGCTGCATCACGTCACGGTTCAAGGGAACTCTCGTTCTCGTCGATTGTGTGACCCGGGGTTTGCGACAACGAGGAGACTTACATTACTTTTATCAAAGTTGACGATTTTCTGCTGAATTCAACTTTTTTCTGTACCATCAATGAAGTTATTTAGCTGCTGAGATTTCATAACCGGTCTGAGAAATTGGGACCTCAGTTGCCCTTGAACCCTTGGTCATAAAGGGGAGTCTGGCACTGGCAGGTTAAAGAGACTTTAATCTTGAAATTAAAGGGAAGACTACCAGGCAGACCTGGCACAAACGTACAGAATTGTCCAGTCAGTCTCTTGGGACTATACCTGGGGTTCAAGAGGAACAGGATCCTCAGGACGCAAGCAGGCAGGAGAGGGAATTACACATACGACTGAGAACACGAGGCGCTTCTTTGCACAACAGGTGGTGGGTGTGTGGAACAAGCTGCCCTGGACCGTCTCTCTTCCTTTCCTGAGCCAGCAGATGTCCAGCACCCGCCTACCCAAGGAGTTGGGGCTGTGGCGGGGGGCAGGAGGGGGGTGCAGGAAGCAGTAGGTGTGGGAGCCAGAACAGACCATCTCCTTACACACACACACGCACACACACACACGCACACACACACCTCGGCAGGGGGAGACAGGAACACAGTGTCCCAGAGGGAGAGTGAGAGGGTGTGCACGGGGGGGGTATGGGTGAGTGGGTGGGGTCATCCACTCCCCTCCCCTGGCTGATACAGCACTGTGAGAGCAGAGAGCAAGCGAGTGAGTCACTGTAGCTCTCTGACTGTAGAGCGAGGGAGAGGGAGTAGATTATTGTCTGTAGATTTTATTTTTATTTTTTGTTTTGTTCCATGTTAATTTGATTATTTCTGTTTGCTTTGGCAACACTGATTGGACCCATCGGTCACGCTGATAAAGCACCTTGAATTGAACTGAACTGTGTGAAGGAGGAGGCAGGCGCAGGGGGAGGGGGAGGGGTTCCATCATTCAAACCAAGGGCCTCATTGTGACCAGGGGTGTGAGGGAGCCTTTGTGTCGGCGAGAGAGGAGGGTAAGATCACGTCGCACACTCGGTGAGCAGAGGCAGAGAGAGGGAGGGCAAGTGAGCCAGTGAGGGAAAGCAGACAGGGACAGAGAGCGAGAGGGAGAAGAGAGGATCACAGGGTTCAGATTCCACAGGCTTTACTGGTATTCCACTGGTTTAACTTGGGGCGGAGCGGTGGCTCTGTGGCTAAGGATCTGCACCTGTGGCTGGAAGGTTGCTGGTTTGTATCCCACAGCCAGCAGAGGAATCCTACTCCGTTGGGCCCCTGAGCAAGGCCCTTAACCCCAACTGCTCCAGGGGCGCTGTATAAATGGCTGACCCCACGCCCTGACCCCAAGCTTCTCTCTCCCTGTCTGTGTGTCTCGTGGAGAGCAAGCTGGAGCATGGGAAAAGACAAATTCCTAATACAAGAAATTGTATATGGCCAATAAAGTGATCTTATCTGATCTGGTATGACCAACAAGTTACAGTGTTGTCAAAGTCATGACATGTAGAGCAACAACATTGTTGTTCATCAAGCCATCTTCTAGCATCTTCTTCTACTTCCGGGTCAGCCAGGGCCTACTGTAATGGCGATGTTGCCGAAGTGAGGAATTACTGGACCCTATGTGACAGCTGGTGAATTTCAGGCGTCGGGTTTGAGGGAGATAGCCGGGTGGACTTAGCCAAGTCGTGGAATCGGAACCGGAGTCAAAGCCGTAAGACGGGTCGGGAATTAGACAGCTACAGGGATCCGAAGACGAGAACGGAGAGCTCCACTGTACTGAGCGCGGTGGTGGTGGTGGTGGTGGTGACCAGCCCTCAAGTACTCTGGGAAGCAGGAGATGCGGAGACGAGCGAGCGCTGTGATTGGATAATTAGTGCATCGGCGCTCACGGTGATTGGGAAGGGCTCGTGTCTGATTAAGTGCGGTCGTGACACCTGTCACGCAGCAGGCTCAAGGCGGGGCAGACAGACAGACACGCACTCGCACCAGAGAGAACACGCGAACTCCACACAGACACCACCTCGGCTCCGGAGCTGAAGCTGGTAGTACCAGTTCAATTATGAATAAGACAGTGGGCAGTGTGCAGGGCAGGGCAGCGACAGAGGGGCAGGAAGGAGCTGGGACAAGCACAGCAGGGAGAGGTGACAGTGATGGCGCAGTGAGTTTCCGAGGGCTCTGGAAGACTCCCTCCCCGGGACGCGGTGCCTCCGAGGGGGAGAGCGGTGGGCCCAGCAGCTGCATGCTGGGGGGCCGGAGGGACCCCCACTTGCCGAGTCGAGAGTGGCCGTGCTCGGGAGGAGATGAGGACCGAGTTCTCTCCTGCCGGTCCCACCCAGAAGATCCCCTCCCCCACCACCAGTGTGCAGCCCCACCTGGACGATGCACCAGTACTCTCCCCACACACTAGCTCTCAGTGGGGAGGAGAACAGAGCGATGAAGCCAGTTCAGAGAGGGGGATTATGAGGAGGCCATGACTGGTAAGGGCCAATGGGAAATCTGGCCAGGACGCCGGGGTTACACCTCTACTCTTTTCGAGAAACACCCTGGGATTTTTGACGACCACAGAGAGTCAGGACCTGGGGTGTTGCAGTGGTTTCTGTCAGAACCAGGCCCCGTGTCGCCGTCAGCCTTGTGCCCATTGCAGGGCTGTCCGCTCCTCTCCAGATTTTCGCCAGTGGCGGGAAGCTGTTGGAAAAAGCCCGGTAGCACAGCAGCGCCAACACTGTCCTGAAGGGGGCAGTCTTCTGCTGTGTTTCCTGCATCCCACCCTTCCAAAACAAGGCCCCCTTCTGTAGCCAGTGCCCTCCCCCCAACTCAGTCATAATAAACCTGTGACCTGCTGCCCCCTGCTCCCTCTCCCCCCCTCGGCCCTCGACACAGCCTGCCTCGCTCTCCGATTCCTGTCCCTCCACTTCCTGAGCCGCTGACACCGATCCCTGCTCCGTGCGGGATGGGATGGTCTGATGGCCTTTGTGTGTCCAGGGAGCAGGGGCCCGCGAGGGGGGAGGGAGAGGAGGGGGCGGCGGCGGGGCTGGGAATGAATGTGTAAAATAAACTGCTGCTTTCCTGTTTTTACACCCCCTTCCCTCCCCGTTTCCTAATTTCCCCCTTGTCAACAACAAAAGAAGTCACACCCCAGCGACCCCCCCTCCCTAAGACAACACACACACCTGCTAACACAATGAAGGCATCAGCCTGATTCCCCTCTGATCAGATAACAGCCCGGCACCTCCGCCCCCCAGCTCCCACCGCGGCACGCATGAGTCACCGAGGCCCTGCGGTCCTCACACACTCGGCTTTTTCAGATTCGACTCTCTCACACACTTTCAATCAATCGATCAGGGCTTATTGATCAGTGCACGGCCAGTACAGCAGACAGCGGAGATGCTTCACCCTCGAGCTGGTTAAGAGGGGTATTGGAAGAGTAGACGGACGGGCGTTTTTCGGGATTAGGTTGGGATTACGATACAGTGAATGATACAGTGGCTATTGACAGTACAATTACAGATTGCAGGACAGTGACACCAGGACAGGAGGTCTTTATGCTGAGGCGCAGCGCGTGTGTGTGCCAGGAGGGCGCCGGTGCACCTATCACTGGTTACTCAGGTGGCTGCCTGCTCACCTGCGGCCTGCTGGGTCACTGCAGGCGTCTGCTTGCAGTCTTAGATAGATACTTTATTGATCCCATGAGGGAAATTGCAGTGCAACAGCAGTTTAACACACACAACACAGCCACAGTGTAACGAATTATATAATAATAGTACAATACATACAATACAATACAATACAAGAGTTACTCACAGTCCGGACACACAAGAACAAACTAGAACAGAACAGTACACAGAAAATCGTATCACACATATGAATAGAAATATAGATGTAACTATAGATATAAATATAAATGTATTGCACAGGTCCCTGGCATATATTGCACAAAAAATGGTTGTAAACGGGAAAAAGAAAAAGAAAGAGAACAGATGTAGCAGTAGATGTGTAGATGCGTGTACTACCTGGGGGAAGGAGCTGTTGGGAAACCCGGTGGTGCACGCGGGCAAGCCCCTGTACAGGACGGCCAGCGGGCTCATGACCAGCGCTCGGCAGCCCGGGCCCACACCTGGAGAGCACGCAGACTCCACACAGACGCTGCACTCTCCGCACTCCTCAGCAGCCAGGGCGCGGACTCGCTGGCGGGGAGCAGTCTTTCCGGACCCCCCCCCCAGAGCGCCCGGCGTGACCCCAGCCCTCCTGTCCGCGCCCGAATGCGATCGCTTCCCGTCGTGCGCGGTGTCCTGGTACGCGCTCCCTCCCTGTCTTCCCTTGAGTGGAGTCTGCGTGTTCTCCAGGCCTCTGCCTTCCCCCGTGACCTCTGACCTTTCGGGGGACTGCGGGTCAGAGTTCAGGGAGGAGAGGTCAAGTCCCTGCAGAGCGGTAGGAGTGTGGGCCCGTGTGGAGCATGCTGGGTGTGGGTAAACGGCAGAGCGTCCGAATCTGACCGCGTTTATCCCAATAAAGTCCTTCCGCGTCGAAGTGGATGGTATCGGAGTGAGGCCTGTGACTAATGCACTGCAGCTTCTGACATCGTGGTTAATCAGAAAGAATGCACCCAGACAAAAGCAGCCTCCGATAAAGAACATGAGGCTGGCAGTCCTGAAAGTATTGTAGTAGTGTTGTTTTCACACGAGTCCTTAACTTGCTTTTCTGAGAGGCAGAGGGATAATGGGCCAGGCGAACCAGACCGGGGCTGGACTGTTGCCCTTCTCCCTCAAGAAAAGGAGAGCTATTGCTTTAAATGTCAAGAGTGCTGGGGATAAAAAAGAAACAAAAAAAGAAGAGATGGAAGCAAACTATAGGCTCAGCTTCCTCGGCTTTTCCAGAGGGGGCTCCATTCTGCTGCAGCCATGCCTCTGAGCGTGAGGCAGTGTGCTGTTGCCATGGCAAAAGCGGAATCCTGAAGCAGAAGCTCTCCAGGAGGGCCTTCCCATTGGTTCGGGGGCCTTTACCACATTGTGATGCCAGGAGCTGGCCGGCCAATGGGAGGCCTCGGTCTGGTGGCTGTTGCTAGGGGGAGTTGCTTGCAAGCTGTCAGCTGTGCTCTGGCTCCCCTCTCAATCTCCCTCTCTCTCCCCCTCGCTCCCTCTCTTTCTCCCCCTCCTGCTCTTGTTCTTTCTCCCCTCTTCCCCCCTCCTCCCCCTGCGGTCCCCTCCCTCGCTGTCTCCCCCACCTCCCTCGTTCCACGCTCGCGCAACGTGCACACGTTGGGAATTCACTGAATATTTCATGCTGTTTTGTCAGGGGATGAGACGCTGCCGGTCGGCGGGCCCTTTCGGGGGTGGGTTTGAGTGAGGTATGCGCCGGGAGTCACGTAGGCAACAGCTGCAGCCTCCCGCGGCCGAGCAGCAGCAGCGCCGGACGGCATTTCAACAGGGTTAGCAGCCCTGCTCAGTGCCGCCTGGGCCGGCGCGGTCTGGCGCTCCCCTGCTCC